AGAGAGAGAGAGAGAGAGAGAGAGAGAGAGAAGTAGGGAGTCAGGAGGGAAGTAGGAAGAGAAAAGGGCCAATGAGCTGAATTTCAAGCTAACTCTATGCCAAGCAGTGAAAAATAACAATCAAGACATTTCTCTCTCTCTCCAGAGATGGTTTCTGGTGTGTTTAGAGATGGATCCAGCCACAGGACTTCTCTTGTTTCCATGCCTAGCTATTTGTAGCTATAGGCACAGTTTTGTATTCAAGATTATGGGCCAAAACTTAGAGAAGCGCTGAGGATCCATGCCAGTCTGGGCATATTTTACTTGCTGGCAATATATAGTGCTCTGCTTGACACAGTACAGTCAAAACAGTAAAGCTGATCCTGTGTCTGAACCCTCCACTCAATTTTGAGTTCTGCTAATGTCAGCCCCATAGCAGAAAGAGTAAGCTGATCTAAAGAAGCACTCGACCCATGGACACATACTTATAGCCCCAAGTTAATATTAAGAATAGGAGTTTATAATAATATGGATCAGGCTTGACAAATAGATTTCCCTTCTCCAAAAAACATACAAGGAAACTGGTACTGTTCCCCATTTTTCAGACAGGAAAAGTGGACTCAGAATTTAGTGACTTGCCAAAGTGTGGGAGCCACAATTTGAAGCACAGTCATGAGGTTCCAAAGCAGTGTGTGCTTTCTTTGATAATTTGCTGCACTGCCAGTAGAAGATGAGGTCCCCATAGGATGATACCTCAGTCCATTTAAGACAAAATACAGAAGTCCAAAGAAACATCGTTACCCAGTCATTCTATGCATTGGAAAAAGGATTTCACTTTGTTTCCAAACAAAGCCTTGGTCACACTGTCATGCAGCCAGGTCATCCAGACAGGTGGCCTGAAGAATGCTCTTACACTTGGACAGTGACCCTTTTCAGGTGGCTCTCTGTAGGCAGGAAAGCTCTAGGGATAAGGACCATCACCTTAAAGTCATTTGAAGACTTGTAAGGAGTTGTCCTCCAAAAGCAAAAACTGGAGTAATCATTGACAGACTATCTAGAAAGCTGATGGGGAAGGAGGGATGTCTCTTTCATCAGTGTGGCCTATTCCAGACCCCTGAGAAGGCTGCAGGTTACTCCTGAAATGGGCCCAGTTACCAGCAGGAGCTTAGCCAGGTCCTTAAAGACAAGGGATTTTTCACTTGGGTTTCCGGCATGGTCCAGAGGTATCTACAAACTCTTAGGAATTACATGTGAAATTCTATATGCATTCCACATAGAATAGCCCCCTATCCCCAGCCTTAGAATAGGACCCATGACCCTCACTTAAAAAAAAAAAAAACACTGAAATTTTCATCTACTTCTTTCTTGCACTCTTCTGCCCTTTTACCCAATTTATACATAGAATCAAATACTGATTAGTTTCCCTAGATTTTGCAGAGAAAACAGACTCAGAGGGTAACTGCCCTGTCCAAGGTTGCACAAAGGGCTGGGCTGGGACTAGCAACACTCCATTGGTGGGAATTTGCCAGTCAACTCAATGAATGAAGACCAAAGGCTCCCTCCAGATTAACAATAATGTTTTGCAACCATTTTCAAGTCCAATCATAGGAAATTCCAAGTTGCTTGTTATTAGGGAAAGATGGGTTGCTTCCCCAGGATGCAGGTAGAGGTCACTAAAAGGATGTTTTCCTACTCACAGAGCCACAACTCCAGCTCCTGTTTTTTCCTTCCACAACACTCTGGCTCTTGGTTACCTGAGTTTGCCTGACTCCCCTCCTCCCTGCCCTCTCCTCCAGCTGGTTGTCCTTCCAGCTTCTTCTCAAGTTTGAATTCCTCTGCTTGGATACGTTCACCTCTGTCCTCCTCCAGGTTACAGCCTGGGGGCTGCTCACCTGCCACTGCCCCCCTAAGCTTTGCGGGACAGCTGCACCTTTGGGTTAGCGCTGGTTAACATGAAACTTTCCCCACCAGATACCCAGGAGGCTGCTGCGATGATGGCCAGTGGTGGGAGACTCCTCAAGTTCACGGTCTGAGCCCCTTGCTAATTCTGGCTAATGCTTTTTTTTTTTTTTTAAACATCTTTGATTTTCATTGTTTTCCCCTTTTCACTTTGACGTAAATAATCTACATTCGGAGAATCCCACAACCTCGCCGAGATTCACTGCCAAGGCTGGGGGTGCAGGTGCTTTTTCCGAAACACTCAAGAGTGCCCAGCGCAGTTGTGAAAGCTGGGGTGGGGTGGCAAACCACCTCAGGGTGTTTTCGTTCCCCTGAGAAGGGACATCAAGGCTGGCTGCGGTCGCAGCTCGGGATTCCCCGGCGGCTGCGGCTCTGGCAGGTTGCAGGCACCTTGCTAGCAGCCGCGTCTTACCGTGGCCACGCTCGCTCCCTCCCGCACGCGGCCTCGCACCGGTGGCCGGGGACAGCGCCTGCCCTCCCGCCCGCCCGCACTGGCTTAGCCCTTTCTGGTTACTCACTTTCACACGGGAGCGAAGTCTGTCCTATCAGGCCGGGAGCACTTCTTGCACAAAGACGTGGAGACCCATCGTGTGTACAGCTGTTTCACGGACAGCCGGTAAAATCCAGAAAGCGGGAGAGAAGCGAGTAAGACAGAAAAGGAAGGCGGGGAAAGCCCAGCCCAGAAGACGGGGCGTCTGGGGATTGCAGCCTCCGCTCCAGCGTCCCCAGCTGGGTGGCTCTGTGAGAAGAAGCTCAACTCCTCGGTGCACTTGTTCACTCTTTCTTCATTAGAGGAGGAGTCAAGGTTGCAACATTTATTTTCCTTGCTGGAGGCAAAACAGTGATTTTCTTCAGCATGCGAAATGTCCAGAGATTGCCAGTTTTGCAAGGTGACAGAGGTAGTTGGGGGAGCCAGGCGGAATGCAGAGAAGATGTGGAGAAGAAATCACGGATTCTCCCCAGATCGGTTTTGCATGATCAGTGCCACACAGCTTCCATTGAGACTGTCCCGGAAAACAGAAAGAAAAAAAAAAAAACACAATAAAATAAAATAAACGTCTTCCTAAGTGGAATGACCTCGAAGATGATGTTTCTCTGGCAGCCAAGATCTTGGTGTCAAATTTCTTTCCTTGTTTCTGAGCTACACAGAGAAGCAGCTTGACCATAGTTGATTGGGGCTCTAGGGAGTTGAATCTCATCTCCCCTAAGAAGGAGTCCAGAAAAGGGACAAAAGAAAAAGTCATTGTCTAAAAGAGATTTTGCTTTCTTTTCTTTCTTTCTTTTTTTGTTTTAATACGCACAGCTAAAATTTCCAAGGTGCTGGGTTTATGTTCGGTTGTATCAAAATAATACAGGAATATCAGGGTGTCTAAATAATCCACCTTTGTGTGTCAGAAATTTCTGTTTCTAATAGGGTTGTATGTTCTGAATTTTATTTTATTTTGGGGACCAACAAAGCCACGTGCAACCTCCACTTTTTCTTTTGCAAAACATTGCCACTTTTCTCTTGCCTCTTAGTACTGAAACAAATAATAACAGTTGCTTGAATCAAGTAGGTTTCCCTGAGTAAATAGCTAGTGTCTGATGCCATTAAGTAATATTGAAATTTGATTGTTACACAACGTAGAAGGCTACTAAGGATATATTTTAAACAACAGTTATAGAGTTTCAGAAGAAGAAGAAAAGGAAGAGGAGGAGGAGAATTTGTAATAATTGGCAAATCGCATCCAGTAGTAGCCACCTGCCAAGGCTCAGAACCCACCATGATGCTTTGGTGATCCTTTTGGATTGGAAGCCCAGAGGCACCTGTGTAAGCATAATAATCTAGTGTTTCCTGTTCAATAACTTGTCCTCGTAAAAGTTAAACCATAGAATCCATCTGGTTTCCTCTTATACAACCTGCACTTGCTTCCTTTGATGATCGAGGTATATTTTCTTTTCCATGAGTGTCTGTGAAGATATACGACTTCTACATGTTTTCAAAACCAATGGGCAGTATTGTCAATGGCAGAATACAGATGCTTAGGGATGAACGATGAGGTCATGTCCCACTAATCTATCCCACAAATTGCTAAAACGAAAATATCTTGCATCAAAAATACATTTAATAGACCTAACCTACCAAACATTATAACTTTGCATTGCTGACCTTAGACATGCTCAGAACATTAGCAAAGTAGGCAAAATTATCTAACACAAAGCCTCTTTTAACAGAATATTTATACAGCGATGCTTTTGCATCATTAAAAAGTAAAAAGCTCAAAAAAGTCATCATACTTTGGGGACTGTCTTTAATTCAATTCAATATGACCTTTGCAAAGCCCAGGATCATCAGTCTTACCATAGGTTTTTTTTTATAATCAGAGTATTTCAAAAGATAGTGAAAAAAATCACTTTAGACAACTCTGGATTGTTAGCCATTAAGAGGCAGGGACCTTGTTCTTCTCCTGTGGTCCCTACATCATAGCAGTCAACTCAATGTACCTGTACACCTGTACACGTGGTTCACAGCAGGTGACAGGCTAGTTGTTGACTAATCCTCATTCCCCTGGGAGAGAAGGTCAAGGGTGGCTTTCAACTGTGTTGTGCATCCTACAGGCAGTGTTCCTAAGCCATGGCATTCACTGTCCTCGTGTACATTAACTTGTCCCCTGTTACTGAGATGAAGGCAGCTGTGAGCCTCATCCTGTTTCCTCTGGCCCCACTCTTGTTTTGTCATTCCCCCCTCCCTGCACACTGGCAAGCTTTGCCCCCCTCTTGTGTTCTCTTCTGGCTCATCTCGGCATCTGTCTCAGTGGTTGAGTTCCTCCCTGTTTCCCAGATGACTCCTCCAATCTCACCCTGGATCTCATATCTGCTCCTTGCTTCCAAGGCCTGGTTGAATGGCTTAAGCAAGGAAAGAACCCAAACATTGGCATTGGTCTGAGTCTCAGCTATTCATATGTCTTCTCTGAGTTTTAATTAATCATTGTAAGTCAAACATAGTAACAAATGGCTCAAAAATCCAGTAAGTAATAATAATGGTGACAGCATATATAAAATGTGAATAATTTAACAGAAAGTCTGGAAACTTTAAGTTCCTTTTTTCCCCCTTCCCTTTTCCTCTACCTGCCTTGATATTTTATCTTTTTTTTTGTCTGAGGGCCTTTTTCATCTCAGCCTACAACTTCCTCACCTCTTCACTGACCCTGCTGGCCTTTTGGGTGGCTTTACCATTTAATTCACCCCTTCCTCCCTCTGTTGAACTTAGTGAAAGAGTATTCCACACTCATTGGCTTTTCTTACTTGTTTCCCTCCTGAAGCCTTAATTAATGGTTTTCAGTCAGTACACCAGCACTATCTGAGGGTGTTCAAAACATGCCTTGTCTGAGTATCAGTTGCAGAGTTTCTAATCCGAAAGGTTCAGGGTCGGGTGCTGATTTCTTTTTCTACAAAGGGCACAGACAGTTAGCTGCCTCTCATCCTTTAGTGCCCTGTCTGGGCCTTTTCCCTAGCACTCTGCTCCCCTTCACTCCTTACTCAGGAAGTTCTCCTTCCTTGGCTTTCAGACCTCGGTACTCCCTGAGTTTCCCTCTGTCTCTCTGTGGCATTACTCTGATGTTTTTTTTTTTTTTCCATATCCTCTCTTCTTTCTCCTCCTGTTTGAAAGGGGAAAGTTTTGTCTCGGTCCTTCATTTTTCTTCTTTGAAGACTACTTTTCTTTCTTTAACAAAATAGAAAACTGCTAAAAATACTAAAAGAGCCCAAAATCACTCACAATCACCACACTGCTAAGAAAAAAAAATCTTCATCTATAGTCATAAACACCAATCCTTCTAAATCATGCATCTTTAATTCAATCCCATTTCCAGAAGAAACCAACATTCACATAGGGTATGTACCTGTTCTTTTTCATGTGTCTATACAGTTATGTCTCCGTGAGCATGTGCAAATATTTTTAAACTAAAATTGCAATGACTTTTAAAACTTGTCTTTTTAAAACAATGCAAATATATATTCTAGTTTACTATCTAGAGATATACTTCATTCTTTTCAGTGGCTGCATTGTTAGTAATTTATTCTTTCATTCTTCTCTTGTTAGATCTTTGATTATTCTGACATTTTAGCATCAGAAATGCTGTTATGATTATCTTTCCATGTGTCTTAAGGTTGAAGCTTAAAAAGATATTGCTGGATCAAAGGAAGTGACCATTAAATTTTTGATAGATAGCTACTGAATTACTCCAAAAACACCCTTGGAGAAAGTTCTAAAAGTGAGATTATTGAGGCATAGGGTAGGAATGTTTTAAATTTTCATATATACCTCCTACTTCTATTCCCAAATGTGTATTAATATACACTCCTAGCAAGCATGTTTTCTCCCATGTTCACAAACACCGAATTTTATCAATATTATCTTGCTGGTTTGATAAGTAAATATAATATCTGTTATAATAATTCCAAGTCCTGAGATTTCTTACGAGGTTAAGTTTACATGCTGATTATGATTTGAAATTTTCTCTTATGCTGTAGCTATTCAATGCATTCCCTGTGTTTCTTCAGGGGTATTTATTTGTTTAAATAAAATTTTAGGGTCACTTATTATATAGAGTTAAGTATATTGCAAGCATTTCTCTGTGTGTCATATTTCCTTTGATTTTGTTAGACTGTCTCACTGGGAAAGGTTTTAATTTTTCCTAATCAAACCTGTCCACTATATTCAATGAAGCCTTCTTGGTTTTCTGCCTTGCTTCTTTGTATGTAATACTGATCGATGTATTTTTTCTTATTATAATAGATCTTTAATTATATTATGACTTACTTTCAAATACAAAAGAAGAAAGTTGAATTTTATTCTGACAGCATAATCAATTACTTGTTACCCCACTGAAAAATTTTTTTTGTGTCACATATCATGCTTTACATTTCCATCTTCTTAAGTGTTGTGCACACCACCACTCTGTTTCTTTGAGATACTTATATAGATGCCAGTGTAGATGCCTATGTAAATGTACTGTTTTTGTTAGGACATTGGTACAACCAGTTTTTCCTTTTAAAATTTTCTTGTTGAAGGTGATGTATTTATTTTTAATAAAGTTTAACAATTAATTTGTCCAACTCAAATAGTTATTTGGCATTATGTTACATTTAACTTATTAATTTAGGAAGAATTGATGTGGCTAAGGGATTAGTTCTTCCTGCATGGTTCCTTTTACTCTTCAAATTTTCCCTTAATCTTTTAATGTCTTTATAATCTTATTACACAGATAATTTACTTACTCATACCATATTAGGAACATGTAGGTGGTTTTCACATTTTTATACATAATGGGAAAATGAACACAAGTCTGGAAAGTGGAATGGAACTTTGCCTTTGGAGAATTTATTTGCTTAGACCAAATTGCAGGTGAAGCATAGTTAGATCAAAGGGCATGCACAGTTTTATAGGCCTTGAGATATAAAAGCTTATCTTTTTTTTTTCTGGCTTCAACTGTCAGTATTTTCTGTGTCATATTCTACATCCAGTCAGGAACAAAGACGTGTAAATACTTTTTCCCCTTCTACTTCTTATTGCCTCAGTTCATTCCTTCATCATTTTTATTATTTCCTCTTAAATATCTTCCTGAATAGATTCACTTTCACCAGATATGTCTGCATCAAACTCAAATGCTTCTAGGTGAATTTGTCTACTTCAGTTACTGAATTAAGATTTTTAATGGTACCTACTTTCCACAGAATAAAGTTGAAACATCTTTTCTCCTGATGATTTTATTGGACTTCTGAGCAATAGCTCAATAAATATCTATATCTTTCCTTCTTAGAATGTTACTTTCCCCAGTCCTTATCTATTGAAACTGTGCATTCTTGATCTCCAGACTCCATAGTGCTTTGTTCTTAAAGCTGTTCCTGGTCACACCAACTCTGAAACTGCTCAGCTTGCTTCTGCCATGTAGTATTTCTAAGTGGGTTTATAATACACCCACTCTGTTCTTCCTCCAAGGATTATCATGGGGCCGATGTCAGTTGACATGTGTGAATGA